GGAAAAAAAAAAAACTTAAAAAAACATGTCTTTCTGGGGGGGCGCCAGGAGAAAAAAAAAAAGGAATGCGACGTGACCACATCTGCCCTCCCCCCTAGAAGGATTCCTAGTGGACGCCCCCATAAGAGGGATTCACAGTAAAATCCTTGACAGAAGGGTTCCTATCGAAACCCTCCACTGAATGATTCCTACCGAAATCTTCCACACGTGGATTCCTACTGAAACCCTCCACTGAATGATGCCTACTGAAATCCTCGAATGGCCATGGCAATGGCAATGGCAATGCCAATGGTAATGGTAATGGTACTGGTAATGGTACTGGTGATGATTACGGTAATGATAGTGGTAACGGGGTAGCGAGGCAATGACAATGGCAATGGCAATGGCAACGGTAATGGTAATGGTAATGGCAATGGCAATGGCAATGGCAATGACAATGGCAATGGCAATGGTAATGGCCATGGCAATGGTAATGGTAAGGGTAGAGGTAAAGGTAGAGTTAAAGGTAATGGTAATGGTAATGGCAATGGTAATGGTAATGGTAATGGTAATGGTAATGATAATGGTGATGGTAATGGTACTGGTACTGGCAATGGCAGTGGTAATGGTAATGGTAATGGTAATGGGAATGGAAGTGGGAATGGGAACGGGAATGGAAATGGTAGTGGTAGTGGTAATGGTAATGGCACTGGTAATGGTAATGGTAATGGTTATGGAAAGTGTAATAGTATTGGGAATGGGAATGAGAATGGGAATTCTAATGGTAATGGCAGCGGTAGTACCATGGTAATGGGAATGGGAGTGGAAATGGTACTGGCAATGGTAATGGTAGGGACGAATGGCAATGGCAATGGCAATGGCAATGGTAATGGTAATGGGTAATGGTGATGGTAATGGTAATGGTAATGACAGAGGTAATGGTAATGGTACTGGTAATGGTAACGGTAATGGTAATGGTAAGGGGGTAGCGATTGGCAATGGCAATGACAATGGCAACGGTAATGGTAATGAAAGTGGCAATGATATTGGCAATGGCAATGACAATGATAATGGCCATGGCAATGGAAATGGTAAGTGTAATGATAATGGCAATGGTAATGGGAATGAGAACGGGAATGGGAATGTGAATGGGAATAGGAACGGGCACGGGAATGGAAATGGTAGTAGTAGTGGTAACGGAAATGGGAATGATAAGGGTAAGGGTAAGGGAAAGGTAATGGTAATGGAAATGATAGTGATAATGGTAATGGCAATGGTAAAGGTAATGGTCATGAGAATGGGAATGGCAGTGGAAATGGTACTGGCAATGGAAATGGTAGTGGCTAATGGCAATGGCAATGGCAATGCGAATGGTAATGGTAATGACGGAGGTAATGGTAATGGTACTGGTAATGGTAACGGTAATGATAGTGGTAACGGGGTGGCGATTGGCAATGGCAATGACAATGGCAACGGCAACGGTAATTGCAATGGCAATGGCAATGGCAATGGCAATGGCAATGGGAATGGCAATGGTAATGGCCATGGCAATGCCAGTGGCAATGGTAATGGTAATGGCAATGGTAATGTGAATGGGAATGGGAACGGGAATGGGAATGTGAATGGGAATGGGAATGGGAACGGGCATGGAAATGGCAGTGGTAGTGGTAACGGAAATGGTAAGGGTAAGGGTAAATGTAAAGGTAGAGGTAAAGGTAAAGGTAATGGTAATGGTAATGGCAATGGCAGCTGTAATGGTAATGGTAATGGTAATGGTAATGGTATTGGGAATGGGAATGTGAATCGGAATGGTAATGGTACTGGCAACGGTAATGGTTGTGGCGAAGGGCAATGGCAATGGCAATGGTAATGGTAATGGTAGTGGCGAATGGCAATGGTAATGGTAGTGGCGAATGGCAATGGCAATGGCAATGGTAATGGTAATGGCAATGACAGTGGTAATGATAATGGTACTGGGAATGGTAATGGTGACGATAACGGTAATGGTAATGGTTATGGCAATGGTAACGGGGTAGCGATTGGCAATGGTAATGGGAATGGCAACGGCAACGGCAATGGCAATAGCAATGGCCATGGCAATGGTAATGGTCATGGTCATGGTCATGGTAATGGTAATGGTAATGGTAATGGTAATGGTAATGGTAATGGTAATGGTAATGGTAATGGTAATGGTAATGGTAATGGTAATGGTAATGGTAATGGTAATGGTAATGGTAATGGTAATGGTAATGGTAATGGTAATGGTAATGGTAATGGTAATGGTAATGGTAATGGTAATGGTAATGGTAATGGTAATGGTAATGGTAATGGTAATGGTAATGGTAATGGTAATGGTAATGGTAATGGGAATGGGAATGGGAATCGTAGTGGTAATTGGAACGGGAACGGGAATGGAAATGGTAGTGGTAGTGGGAAAAATGATGGCAATGGTAATGGAAATGGTACTGGTAACGGTAATGGTAATGGCAATGATGATGGGAATGGGAATTGTAATGGTGATGGCAGCGGTAATGGTAATGGTAATGGCAAGTGTGATGGTAATGCTAATGATAATGGCAATGGTAATGGTGGTGGCGAATGGTAATGGTAATGGGAATGGTAATGGTAATGGTAACGGTAATGGTAACGGGGTGGCGACTGGCAATGGCAATACCATGGCAATGGCAACGGCACTGGCAATGGCAATGGCAATGATAATGGCAATTGTAATGGCAATGGTAATGGCACTGGCAATTGGAATGGCAATGGTAATGGCACAGGTAAAGGTAAAGATAAAGGTAAAGGTAATGGTAATGGTAACGGTAATGTGAATGGGGATTGGGATGGGAATGGTAATGGTAATGGTATTGGGAATGGGAATGGACTGGGAATGGGAGTGGGAGAGATTGAGAGAGAGAGAGAGAGAAAACGAGAAAGGAAACATCAGCATAATGATGAGGAACAAAGTGAAATATCGCAAATTGTCGTCTAAAACCCACAGCGACTCCACAATCCCCCGGCCTCCCTCCCTCCTCCCTCCTCCTCCTGCCCCTGCTCCTGCTCCTCCTCCTGCTCCTCCTCCTCCTCCTCCTCCTCTTCCTTCTCCTCCTCCTCCTACTCCTCCTCCTCCTCCTCCTCCTACTCCTCCTCCCCTCCCGTCCCTCCCTCCCTCCCTCCCCTCCTCCCTCCCTCCCTCCTCCCTCCTCCTCCTCCCTCCTCCCTCCTCCCTCCTCCCTCCTTCCCTCCTCCATCCTCCATCAACATAATACCTCCTCCTCCCTCCTCCTCCTCCTCCTCCTCCTCCTCCTCCTCCTCCCCTCTCCTACCCTCTCCTCCTCCTCCTCCTCCCTTCTCCTCCTCCTCCTCCCCTCTCCTCCTCCTCCTCCTCCTCTCGTTCTCCTCCTTCCTCCTCCTCCTCCTTCTCCTCCTCCTCTCCTCCTCCTCCTCGCTCCTCCTCCCCTCCTCCTCTCCTCTCCTCCATCATCATCATCATCGACCCCCCCCCCCCACTCATCATCATCATCATCCATCATCGTCCATCATCATCATCAATCATCATCATCATCATCACATCATCATCAGCATCATCCCACATCATCATCATCATCATCAGCATCATCATCATCCATAATCATCATCATCATCATCCTCAGCATCATCATCATCATCATCATCATCTCATCCTCATCATCATCAATCATCATCATCATCATCATCATCATCATCATCATCATCAATCATCATCATCATCATCATCATCATCATCATCATCATCATATCCTTCTCCTCCTCCTCCCTCCTCCTCCTCCCTCCTCTCCTCCACCTCCTTCCTCCTCCTCCTCCTCCTCCTCCTCCTTCTCCTCCTCCATCCTCCTCCTACTCCTCCTCCTCTCCTCCTCCTCCTCATCATCATCATATCATCATCATCATCATCATCATCATCATCATCTCATATCATCATCATAGCATCATCATCATCATCACAACATCACATCAGAAACATCAACATCAACATCATCATCATCATCTCATCATCATCATCCTCCATCATCATCATCATCATCATCATCATCATCATCATATTCTTCCTCCTGTTCCCCCTCCTCCTCCTCCTCCTCCTCCTCCTCCTCCACCTTCACCTCCTCCTCAAAAATCATCCTCTGGAGGCCTCCCTGGGGGGGTCGGAGTAGAATGGGTCGGAGGATCTCGCCGCATCGCCGACGCATCGGCGATGCATCGGCGATGCATCGGCGATGTATCGGCGTCGCATCGGCGATGCATCGTCGACATCGGCGATGCACCGACGACGTCGACGAGAAGCAGATAGGGCTCCACATCGAGCCGCATCGGCGATGCATCTGCGATTCGGCGCGATCCTCCGACCCCCTCTACCCAGACCTCATCTGGGATGGGACGCACAGGGACATACAAATACTACATGTCCTTGAAGGCGTGCGTCCGACCCGAACATATAGTATACCCATCTTGTAGAACATCGTGCCCGAGCGGTGTGGCCAGACAGCGCCCGCCACGACGCACAAACTATAAGATTTCTCGGTGCGCGCGTCGCCCCTTGAGGGGGCAACGCACATATAATATACCCATCGGTCGGAAGAAGTAGGTAGAAACATGAAGTAGGAAGGCGTTGGAAATAGATTGGGTTTCCGCCCGGCTCCTGAAGAGGAGGGAAGAGGGAAACCCACTCGACTCTTGAAGTAGGAAGGCGCTCAAAGTAGATTGGAACCTGGGAATCCAAAAATACCTACTTTCAACGACCGATGGGTATAGTATAAGTATGTTGGGGCGACGCCGATAGGAGGCCTAGAAGAACGCGCGTCGGATCGGGCTGCCCCGGCACGGAGCCGCAATCGAGCCGGCTCGGCGGCGCCCGGGTGCACA